AGGTTGTCATTCATGTGTACACCCAAGTACTTGTAGCTGGAGACCACTTCCACCGCAGATCCTCTTATGTTCAGGGGGGTGTAGGTGTTTTTGTTCCTTCTGAATTCCACAATCATCTCCTTTGTCTTCTTCACATTGATGTGAAGGTTATTCTCTCTGCACCAGCTCTCCAGGTGCTCCACCTCTTGCCTGTAGCTGGACTCATCATTGTTTGTGATGCATCCCACCACCGCTGTATCATCTGCAAACTTTACAATGTGACAGCCTGGATGGGTAGCTGCACAATCATATGTGAGCAGAGTAAACAGAAGGGGGCTCAACACACATCCCTGAGGAGAGCCAGTGCTCAGGGTTATGGTGGAGGAGGAGAGGTTGTGGATCCTCACTAACTGTGGTCTGTTTGTTAAGAAGTCTAGTACCCAGTTGCAGATGGAGGGGCTTAGTCCTAGTGTGGATAGTTTGTCCATCAGGGTTTGGGGGATCATGGTGTTGAAGGCGGATGTGAAGTCCACAAAGAGCATACGGACGTAAGAGTTTTTCTGCTCCAGGTGGTTGAGTGCAGTGTGGACCACAGAGGAGATTGCATCCTCTGTTGATCGGTTCTCACGGTATGCATACTGATGAGGGTCCTCGTTGATGTTGATGGTTGTTTTGATGTGAGTCATGATCAGTTTTTCGAAGCATTTAGCGACTATCGGGGTGAGGGCCACTGGCCGATAGTCATTCAGACCAGTCACTGTAGAGCTTTTTGGGACTGGGATGATGGTGGCAGTCTTCAGGCAGGTGGGAACTGTCTCCAGGGTAAGTGAGGTGTTAAAGATGTCTGCCAGCACCTCACAGAGCTGATCAGCACATTCCTTCAACACTTTTCCGGGGATGTTGTCTGGGCCAGTTGCTTTGTGCGGATTTATCCTCCTGAAGGTCCTCCTTACTTCTGCTGAGGTCACGCTGAGATGCTCTTCATCCGGTGGCGAGGTGAGTCTGGTGCTGGGTGGTCTGTTCGGGTCTTCAAAGCGTGCATAGAACTTGTTGAGGGCATCAGGCAGAGATGGGTCTTTGGGGCATTGTTCACTCCTTCCTTTATAATCTTTTATGCACTTAATGCCCCTCCACATGCTCCGAGGGTCTTGTGAGATGAATTGACCCTCGATCCTCTTTGCATATGTGGCCTTGGCCCTCTTAATACCAGCAACCAGCTCTTTTCTTGTCCTACTCAGCTCCTCTGAGTTTCCAGACCTGAAGGCAGTGTTCCTGGCTTCCAGCAGGGTACGCACCTCTGCATTCAGCCAAGGTTTTCTGTTTGGGTAGCTTTTAACATTTCTGATAGTGGAGACTGTGTCAGTACATGTACTAATGTAACCCAGGACTGAGGATGTGTATTGGTCAAGATCAAGCGAACCTCCATTTTCAGCAGCTTCTCTGAAAACCTGCCAGTCTGTTCGATCAAAACAATCTCTCAGTATGGGGCCACTGTCCTGGCTCCAACATTTAACTTTCTTTTGTACCGGTCTGGAGCGTCTCAGCGGGGGCATGTAAGCAGGAGCCAGGAAGATTGAGATGTGGTCTTACAGTCCTAGGTGGGGGCGGGGTTCGGCTTTGTATGCATTTTTTACGTTCGTGTAAACACGGTCCAGCGTGCGGTCTCCACGTGTCGGAATCGTCACATGCTGATTAAAGCTTGGGAGACACTCCTTTAGATTCACGTGGTTAAAGTCTCCGGCTACCACGTAAAGAGCCTCGGGGTGTTTGTTCTGCAGCGAGCTGATGATATCATGTAGCTCCTGTAGTGATTCATTAGCATTAGCGTCCGGAGGAATGTAAACAACTGTGATAAAAGTCACTGTGAACTCGCGGGGTAGATAATGTGGCCGACATTTCACTGTTATTTGCTCCAAAGCCTTCGAGCATGAGCTATTTACAACAGTACAGTTCGTGGACCAACTTTTACTCGCGTAAATGCACACTCCGCCCCCCCGTGATTTCCCCGTTAGCTCGCTGCAGCGGTCTGCTCAAAAAAAAAGTCAGTCATCCAGCTGGAAGACTGAGTCCGGCGTTTCACTTGTAATCCATGTTTCCGTGAGGCAAAGCACTGCACACTTCTTCATCTCTTCTGAGGCGCCCGCTCTCAGACGAAGTAAATCCATCTTGGTGTCCAACGAGCGGACATTCGACAGAAAGAGAGACGGCATGGGGAGTTTACCGGCTTTAGCGTTAGCTCGTAGCCTCACCATAACCCCCGCCCGGCATCCTCTCCTCTTAAGCCGGGAGCAGCGCTTCCTCTTCTGCCCGCTGGAACGCCTCTGCTGCAGCTTCCAGGTAGATGACTTTAAGATCTGCATTCTGCCGAGCATGTATGTATGTATGTATGTATGTATGTATGTATGAATGTATGAATGTATGAATGTATGAATGTATGTATGTATGTATGTATGTATGTATGTATGTATGTATGTATGTACTTAGCTATTCTTTTTGACAAAGGCTATGGTTTTATCCAGGTCCACAAACTCTTTGTCCACCTCACTGTGTGTGATGTGAAGCTGTATGTATGTATGTATGTATGTATGTATGTATGTATGTATGTACGTACGTACATTTATATATATGTATACATATATATATCCAATTGAACAGCCCTGCCATACAATCACCTTCCAGTATTAATGAAATGTACATAACCCCATCAAAAGTCCAAACAGACAAATATTTAGTCAAACATAAACTTGAAAAGAATGCTGATTAAGGGAAGTCAATCCTACATTATTTTTTTCCGTCCTTGCGGCCTGCTGTTGAGATGATATTCTTTTTGACAAAGGCTATGGTTTTATCCAGGTCCACAAACTCTTTGTCCACCTCACTGTGTGTGATGTGAAGCTGTGCAGAAAAAAGTAGCCCATTGTGAAAATCTCGCTGCCTCACCTCCGTGAACACCGCCCGAGTCCTGGCCACTCTCAGTGCATAATCCGCTGTTATGATGGTTGGTGGTTCTTTGAAGCAGAGCGGGCCACAACTGTACACACGCCATAATATATCTACACAGTCTTGGTAGCAGAGCACTTTAGTTACAGTAAATCTCTGCTTATCTCCTGGCTTCTCCCCACCTGGCTTCCGGTGCAACCAGTCGACCAGTGACCCCTTGCTCACCTGCAGAACCTCTGTTAGCAGCCTAGCTACTGCCATGGTGGTGCCACTGCCATCTTGCCCCTTAAATTCTTCCTTTTAAAAACAGAGTTTTTCCTTTCCACTGTCTCCTTTGTGCTTGCTCAGGATGGGAGACTGTGATGAAGTGAAGATGTAACGCAATCTGCTGCTTCCGTAGATGGAGAACTTTACTAATTGTTTTTTATTGTTTGTGAATGTTTCCGTGCAGTGTCCTGAGACTTCTGTTGTGACTTGGCATTATATAAATAAACTGAATTGAATTGAAACTTCCAGTTCACCTGAAAAGTCAATGTAGCTTCACTCATCTGGAAACATCCTACTTGTCTGCTCTTGTACCTTGTTCTCTGCCATGTCCTTACATGTTCTAGGCTTCTAAAACATGACACTTATCTTTTATCATACTGGACACAATGTATCCTCAATAATTACATTACCTTATTTTGTAGACAAAGCCATCTGTAAAGCATCGTTCCTACTTTCTGTTCCCTTTAAAGTTAATCTTGTGCCTTCTTTTGTGTAGAAAACAAGGTTTCATGAAAAATGTTTTTTTAATCCACAAATTTTGACAGAATGATCCAACCCAAAAGAAATAAAGACCCCACTGGTACAGACTTGTATACTGCTCTGAAATCATAATTGGCAACACACAAAAAACTACATAAGTTATTCAAACAACATTGTAGATATCAAGCTTAGACCATTTAAGCAATCTTCTTGGGAAGTTGGATCACAAAATGACTTAATAATTTTTTTCTGACCCACGGACTACTTGTGCTAAATTTTTTAAATATCACTTTTGAACACATAAGTATATGTATATATATATATATATATATATATATATATATATATATAT